TCATGTCGGACGAGGTATGGAGTGGCTGGTACAAGTGACGCCCATTACCGGATAAGGTGTGAGGACGGCTGATATTTGTAAGAGAAATGTAAGTATCCACGTGTAGAAGAAATTCCTATGGAGACCAAAGATACCGGTAGACAAAAATAATACTAAGAGAAGAGAAAGGGAATGGTAGACAATTAATTGTATTTTTACTATGTTCTTGAACATATCTTAATGTTTGTGTATGGATGTTGTTTAATAAGAAAATAAGTAATAAAATGATTTCTATAAAAAGGAAGGGTGCAATCGCACCAGTGTTGTTTTTAATTAAAAGTGAGTACTTTGTCGGTTGTTTTATAGTTTTCTACAACTCTTTCGTTGCTATTACAGTTAAAGATTTTGTTGGTATTGTTATTGAGCTAAATCGCTCATCCTGTTATTACTAATAACTTTAGATCAAGACAATCAAGACTCGGATTCTGAACAATCAAAGATTAATTAGGATATTGTTCCACTTTATTCTGTCGGATAATATTAAGGTTAATTGTTTATTTCATAGTGATAGTTGTTTTAGGTCATAAGATGGCCTCGTGGGATATTTTGAGCCGATGTGCAAGGGATGTACTGTTTAAACACTTAAATTTTGTTGCGCTGTATAATTCTAGTAGTTATTTTGTTATTATAGTGTTGAGCACTGAGAAACTGGAATAGTGGTTCAGTTGTTACATATATACAATGCATAAAGAAGACCATTTAAATAACGAGACCAAATTAATCAATTATGCAAATTATAGTTTCAAGTTATAAAAAATGCCAAAGTAATAATAACTTACCTTATTTCATAAACGAAAAACTAAAATCATATTAAAAAATAAAACATACATCATTATTTAAAATTTAATCACAATTAAATAATGTTTATAAAAATTACCAATCAAATAATAAGATTTAAAATAAAATTTTGTGAATTAGAATTTTAATTTTTCTAAAAAATATAAAAGTTAAAGAATTTTAAAAAATTTATATTAATATTACATTCAAATTTATTGTAGGGGTCCGGAACTTAAAAGGAAATAAATTATAAATTGAATGCGGAAGCGAAATAATAAAATTAGGATTTACATTCTTTACACAATAATTTAGAATATCCAATAGAGTTACGGAAATGATCATTCTAAAAGAACAACGAAAAATTAAAGAAATAAATAGAAAGTAAACAACTGGACATCCTATTCGCAATCCTCTTGTGGATCGAGATTTGGATCTTGGTCCTCTTGCTCTAAAATGATTAATGAAAACGTGAGCTACACTAGTCCAGTAAGAATGTCACACTACTCACTGATACAGAAATGAAGGTTGATAAAAATTATGAAAACAACTAATGGAGCTATTAATATAAGTAAATTCATTTATCATAAATAAAATTATTTATTGTATACTTACCGTAGTGAGATTTTTAAAACTGACCTATAAAGGTAATAACACAAATAACATCATAATATCATATTCAATTAACCATAATAATAATTTTTTCTTTTTATCTGCCTACTAATATCCATGGGGGTCTATAGAAATGTCCCCACTACGCGTAAACCCTTATTCAACATTGTCAACTAATCGGCCGTCCTTATATCCCATCCGGTATGAGCGCCAAAAATATCATCCCTCAATACCCCGTCCGATATGATGATGAAACGGATCGTCCTCATATCCCATCCGTCCACCATCTCCCAAGATATCCAGTAACGCTACCATTCATTCATTCACTTAATCAAATAATTTTTTGTTTACATTTAATTTTTAGTTTCACAATTTAACTGTAAATCACGCCAAAACAAGCAATACATGCATTAAGGAAACACAACTAAATCATCTTACCAACTCCAGCGTATTATTATGTATTTAAAACTGTAAAATCAATGAATTAGTTAAAACATGATAAACAATGATAAAAAATCAGTTTCGGCTCTATTAGTAACCTATAATTAATTATCGAGATTTTCTGAATTACGTAAAATATCATATTATTTATAATTAAA